AGGCGTCACCGCTATGTCTTGCAATTCCCGGTTTTCCTTAATCAAGGTAATATGCGACACATGGATCAATATTTGTCTTGGTACAGGTCAGTTAGTAACCCTGAAACGCACGTGTCTCATTAAGGTACTTGGTTGACCCACGCACACAATGGGCACAACCCTCATTTCCCCAACAACAAACCCAAAACCCATCAACCTCCCACCAACCCCCAAGAAGAAACAGACCCACAAACACGCAGCCACAGTCCCCACCACAACACAATTACACTCAAATGCCACACAACCAACCACAATCACCACCACACTACCAATACCCCGATATGCCTCACACCCAACCACAATACCAATCCCAATACCAGCACACCCGCATACCCCACACACAATTTCAGTCTTCCGTATATCCCAATATGAGCCCCTCAACATCCAGCCTTAGCCCTGATATGGGAATGTCGGAAGATTACGAACAAACCGACCCAGCCTACCATCAACCACAATATCACCAAACCACCCAACATCCTCAATACCAAACACCCCAAGATCCATTTCCTTTCTACCCACTGTACTCAGACGACCAATGCTACCGACCCACTATGGAACCCCACCCACCGCCAACACGACCAAACTTTGAGGGTATGGGTAACCAACTGTACCAAAGCGGATCTTCTAGATATGGAGATCTGACTGATTTTATGGATCCGGACCGCATTGACTTCGCTGGGCCATCGACCTTGCCGCAGCATGAAACGCGACGACACCCAGCACGAGAAAGGCGAGGACGGGGATGCGGAACCGGGGGACATTACCGGGTCCCGGGGGATCATTGACTTATCTGTTTTTTTTTCCTGTATTTTTTTATCTGTTTTTTTATCTGTTTTTTTTAATCTGTTATTTTAATGTAATACAGTTGGATGTAATTATTATTTTTTTAATAAAAAGTCCATTTTGTTGATCCTGTATCCAACACACAACGCACTGGACAAAAAAAATCACATTTTGCCCTAAAATAAGACCTAGGCTCCATCTCACTTGGCTTAGGGCATGCCCTAAGCACATAGGCGCCAAGTGAGATGGCGCCTCCCCTTAAAAATTGGGTGCATGCGCCAATTCAGATGGCTCCTCCTTTGGGGAGTCATCTGAAACATGGTTATTTGCGTAATTTTTTCCGAAACGCGGTTATTTGCGAATTTTTTTTTAATACATGGTTATTAATAAAAAAAATTCGAAATTTATTTGTATCATCAAATAAAAGATATGTCACGTTTTACATCAAAACAGAATAATCTTTTCTCAAAAGGAAAATCAAAAGGATCTTAATTTTAAAACTAAAATTAAAATTCTCAAATTTAAAGGTGAAATTAAAAACAGAACTCTAAACTAATTCCGATGAGTCAAATATGTCATCGAATCACATCCCTTAAACTCATACCAGAATTCAATCAACGAATGAAGGTGAAATCGTACTTGAGTTTGCCTTTAAAATCGTTGAAGGTTGCAGGTATGTCATCTTCCGATTTGAGTCAAACATGCTATTGAATCATATCCCTTAAACTCATATCAGAATTCAATAAACGAATGAAGGCGGAAACATACTTGAGTTTGCCATTGAAATTGTTGAATGTTGCAGGTATGTGATCTTTCGGTTTGTAGAGTTCATTGAATCTCTTGTGATGGAGATGAAGAGAGAAAACTTAATAAACCTTACTTTTTATCCTACTCTATACAAGGAAATTATAACCCATATAAATAATCGTATGTTATTTCTTTAGTTTTTAAATAATGGTATACATGTGCGTTCGCACGAGTACGGATGTGGTACGCACACTTTTTGTTTTCAAAATGTAAATAAGAAAAACAAATATTTGAATCAAAAGTATATTAGAATTTTTGTTTTGGAAGAGATAATAATTTGGTTTCTATAATTTGTTCTATATATAAAAATATTTGAATCAATAATATAATTATTCTTATATATAAATATTTTTGTTTTGGAATTATTTATAAAAATATTTAAATCAATAATAAATTTATTCTTGTTATTATTTAAATATTTAATTAAATATATTAATATCAATATCATACACGCGTACCGTATCAATACTTGTGTTTTTGCCAAATAAGTAGTGTGGTGTACAAGTTTTTGTTTTCAAAATATAATAAAAATAAAATAAATAAAAGATTAAATTGTATAATCAGAAGATTATCTTAAAATAGAAAAAAATGGTGTCTATATATTTTTTTAAATATATTTTCATGTAAATTTAGAATGAGATATCGACAAAAATCAAATAAAATTGTAGTCAATGTCTTTATTAAATAAAATTATAATCTCAAACATGATTAGAGCATGTGTTATGTACTTAGCACAAAAATGATTCTCATTATCAATCGATATTTTGAATGTTCTCGTTAATAATTAATATTTTAATAAGTATACCTATTAATTATGTTATTATTCAATATTATGATCAACAACTTTATATTCTTGTTATTATTCAAATATTTCTTGTGTATGTAAATGTTAATTTTGTTTTGAAATTATTTATAAAAGCATTTGGATGAATAAAAAGCTTTATATATATATATATATATATATATATATATATATATATATATATATATATATATATATATATATATATATATATATATATATATATATATATATATATATATATATATATATATATATATATATATATATATATATATATATATATATATATATATATATATATATATATATATATATATATATATATATATATATATATATATATATATATATATATATATATATATATATATATATATATTGATCATTGATGAACTTGTCCCGTTAAAATCTTATAAATGACAAACAAATTGTATGAATAATAAAAAATATCATACAATTTTGATATTATTTATTCATATATTATTTATGTTTTGTTCTATTAGTATTTATATTCAAGTTCATTTAATTAATTTAGATTGTACGATTATTTTGTACTCAAAAAAATTTGTATGATTATTGATTTAATTATATAAATTAATTATTTTCTGCCCATATACATTTTAAATATTTAACGCCAATAAAAGGTGTGATTCTCCTATGAACTCATAGATTAAAAACTCTATACACTATTTTATGTATAATAATAAGATATTTTATAAATATATAATTGTTTTTATGCGATTCTCATATTTAATATTTAATTATTCTTTATTTAATACATTACTAAACATTTTATAAACTTTTTATATACTGTAAACTTATAATAGGATAATTAAGAAAATGTTTTTCTTCTTTATTTAAACTAAATCATAATCACATATAAAATAAAAATAAAATTATAGGCAATATTATTTAAAACTTATTTAAAGGTTATTAAAAACTATTAAATAAATAAATATTCACACATAAACTAAAAAAATGAGTTATAATTATATAATTAATTTGATGATAAATTCTAATGAAATTTTTTAAATATTTGTTTATACTGGTCACTAAATAAAATTAAATACAATGAACACATTTCAAATAAATATTAAACAATTGGCGAAGAGAAAATCAACATTTATATTGTCATAATTATTATTTTTTCCCTTAATTACACTAATAAGACAGATTTATTTAATTATTATATTAGTTGTTTAAATTTCGTTAAATGACACATATTTTTCTTGTATCTAGATTATAAATTTTTTTTACCGTATTTATATCAATTAAACACATTTATTCAATTATTATTTTAATTGTATTAATTTTAATAAATGACTTGTATTTATAAATGATTCGTATTTTTATTGTGATTTATATAATGATATAATATATTTTATGACAAATGTTTGTATGATTTATTTTTCATATTATTTGTGACAAATATTTTTTATATTTTATTATGATTTATGTATTGTTATAAAATCATAATTAAAAACAATTATTTATTGTTGTTGAATAAATCATATTATCCCTTATTTACATAAAAAATACACTCTAATATATTAAAAAAATAAGAGATAAAAAACATTAAAGAAAAAGCGATGTCACAGAATCGGGGGCGACCACCGAAGAAGGTTACTCTGTCACCGGAGGCAATCATCTGCGATTCTACGGTGGGAAATAAGGCGGAGGATATGGAAGAGAGAGAGAATAGCGGAGTGGGAAAGGTGAATATGGAGGAAGCAGAAGAAAAAGGGAACGAGGGTCCGAAATTAGGGTTTTCTCTGAACCCTAACAATGGCGACAAGGAGAAGGAGAAAGGGAACAAGGAGAACAACGGTGCCACAAAACTGTGGCTTGATGTTATAAGAGGAAATCGTTAAGAAGCAAACAAAAAGGCAATCAAGTTCGTAGCAGCGAAGATTGTAAATGGAGAAGTGGAGGTGGAAATCACGGAGGATGGCGTTGAATCTAAAATCAGGTATTGGGATACATCTCTTATCATGTATGCTATAGGATGGAACCTGAGTATGAATGTTGTGATAAATTATATTATTAGGGCATGGAATTTTGTAAATCTGCCAGAACTGTTTTACAATGATGAAGGTTACTTCATCTTGAAATTCAAGATGTTGAAAGAAAGAGAAGAGGTGATGCTAAAGGGGCCATATACTATTAATATCATACTGATGGTCATCATGGAATGGCGTCCAAATTTTTCAATGGAAAGAGATATGCTGAGAACGGTGTTGATCTGGGTTAAGCTGTTGCAGCTTCCTCTGCACTTGTGGGTGGAAATAACTTGGGGAAGATAGGAAGTGTCATAGGAACACCAATGTACACAGATGAGTGCACAGCAGGAAAACTCAGGGTCAGCTATGCGAGGATTCTGCTTGAAGTTGATGTTACTCAGAAGCTTTGTGAGGAGATAGTGATAAACTATGAAGGGGGTAAAAGAAAACAAAAGGTGGAATATAAAGGGAGGAAAACTGTGAAAAATGCCAGAAAGTTGGACATGTTTGCAGTAAAGAAAAGAAACCAAAGACAGACTCTTTTAAAGACAAAGGGAAAACCTAACATGAAAAGCAAGGAACCACAAGAAGAGACTTTGAGCAGCAAGGAGCCAAAAGATGTAATAGATGAGAATCCAGGCAACCCCTTGGTGCAACAAATGATACATCTGATGAAGGATTCTGGACTGAGGTAAACAAAGGTTTCCGAGACAGAGGTAAGAAAAAGTTATTTGTTGATAGTCTCAAGCATATTTAGTCAAATTGGGTTTATAACCTTAGGGGATTGGAATGACCCTAAGGTTAATCCCATGGAGGATAGATGATTATATCTTGGAATGTGAGGGGGCTTAATAATTTGGTCAAGTATAGAGAGATTGGCTCCCGTCTCTCTAGGCTACAACCTAAGAAAGTTATTATTCTTGAAACTAGAGTGAAAAAACATAATGCTGAAAAGTGTAGAAAAAACATGGGTGGCAATTGGAATGTGATTGATAATTACAGAAAACATGAAAATGGTAGGATTTGGTTTATGTGGGATGACAGAAAAGTTCAAGTCAAGGAAATAAATATGACTGACCAGATGATTCACTGTGGTATATATGATGTGGATGGGAATTTTTTTCAATGGATTACAATTGTCTATGCATCTAATAAAAGTGAGAAGATGAAGGATCTGTGGAAAGATATTAGAGATATTGGTGAACAACAACAAGGGCCTTGGATTGTTATGGGAGAATTTAATAATGTCCTTGGTTTTCAAGATATAATAGGAGAGAAGGAAGTTAAAGAAGCCGTATTCAGTGACATGAAAAAAATGATGGAAGATGCTGAGTTATTTGAAATTGATAGTAAGGGAGATATATTTACTTGGTATAATAAGCACACAGAAGGAGCAATCTATTTTTGTATAGACAGGGTCATTGGTAATATGGATTGGATCCACAAGAATGCTAATAAAAGTGTGCACATCCTTGAGCCAGGGGTCTCTGATCATGCCCTGGTGTGCATCAGGGGTGAGGAAAACAAAAGCAGGAAAAGGCTTGATTCAAGTTTATAAATGTTGTTATAGATGCAACAGGTTATGATGAGAAAGTCAAAGAGAATTGGCAGTAGGATATAAGAGGTAGTAACTGTAGGAAAGTTTGGAATAAACTTATGAGGTTACGACATATCATTAAAAGGCTAAACAGACCCCTTTTAGGCATTAAAATCAAATAGAGGAAGGAAGAAAGATGTTGAATGAGATACAGGGGAAGCTGAGGCATGATAGGATGAACTTGTAGCTGATTAAAGAAGGGAAGTAATGTACAGAAAAGCTCCTATAAATGAATGAGCTTGAAGAGCAAGTTCTGAAGCAAAGAGAAAACATTTGAGTGGATAAGAATGGGGGATGGAAATAATGCCTATTTCCATGCTTCTTTAAAAAGCAAGCAACAGAAGAAAAAAAGTGATAAACAAGTTGTGCATTGATGATGGTAGATTTTTAAACACACAAGATGATATGGAAAAAGAGGTCCTTGAGTTCTATGGAAATCTAATGGGTAAGGCTGACATGAATATGAAAGGGGTGGATATTGCAGCTTTGAGAAGAGGTAAACAACTATCTAGAGATAAAAGATTCATGCTGAATGCGCCTATTAGTGAGAAAGAGGTGGAAATTGCCCTTAATAGCACTGGGGATCTCAAAGCTCAGGGGATTGATGGTTTTGGCTCTAAATTCTTCAAAAATTCTTGGCGGGTTGTGAATATTGATGTGCTGGAAACTATGAGAAGTTTTTTTGAAGAAGGTGAATTTGATAGCAGGATAAACAAAACCATTGTCACATTGATACCAAAACATGATCAAGCTTGCAACATTTGAGAGTTCAGGCCTATTTCCTGTTGCACAACAATGTATAAGGTAATCTCCAAAATCATGGCAAATAGAATGAGTAGAGTGTTAAGGAGTATAATCAGCAGAAACCAAGCAGCTTTTGTGCCTAGTCAGAAAATCCAAGATCATGTCTTGATTGCTTATGAGTTAATTAGAGGGTACATCAGGAAAGAAGGCATGCCAAGGTGCATGATACAGATGGACATAAGAAAGGCTCATGACACTGTTGATTGGAAGGTCATGAAGACCATCCTTGCTGAAACAGGTTTCCCTAGAAGGTTTATTGGTTGGGTAATGAAGGTTGTTACCATAGTGACATATCAATTCAATTTAAATGATCAGAACAGTAGAAGTATGAAGGCAGCTAGAGGGCTTAGGCAAGGGGATCCCATATCCCCCTTGCTCTTTGTTGTGATTATGGAATACCTCCATAGGAAGATGGAAAATTTGAGGGATTTCCCAAACTACAATTTTCATAGCAAATGTGATGATCTGCTGTTGTTTTCCAAGGGAGACAAAGAGTCTGTGAAAATGATGATGGATAGATTCCATGAGTTTTCTAGATCAACAGGTTTGTATGGAAACCAAGCAAAGTGTAAAATATATTGTGGAGGGATGAATGATAGATAAGCATGAGCTGAAGCACGTAAATGGTTTCTCCATGGGTCAACTTCCCTTTAGATACTTGGGAATACCTTTAACTAGCAAAAAAATTGTCAAATAGCCAATGCCATGAAATTGCTGACAGGATTAATGGAAAGATTAAGCACTGGAGTGCTCATCTTTTGAGATATACAGGGAGAATACAACTTATCAAAAGTGTTCTCTTTGGCACTGCTAGCTATTGGATGAGATGCATTCCTATGCCTAAAGAGGTCATTCGGAAGGTGGAAGTCATTTGCAGATCTTACTTATGGTCTGGTAAAGACAAAATTACAAGGAAGTCTCCTATTGCTTGGGAAAGAGTTTGTGTTCCTAAGAAGAATGGTGGCCTGGATGTGATAAATTTGAGTGTTTGGAACAAAACCTGTTTGGTGAAGCTTCTATGGAACAATCTTTTATTTCTATTTAAAGTAAAATAAAAGATATTAAAAATAAATGTGTAGTTTTAAACAAAAACTTATCCTTTTTAAGAGATATTAAAAAATAATATATTTAATTACAATTTTGGTCTCATATTTTATTCGATTCACAAAATTAATCCCCTATTTTAAATTTAAATAGTTTTAGTACCCTATTCATATTTTTGTACTTAAAATTAATAATATTTTCATATTTAAAATGACAAATTACATGTAAAATATGGAAAATCATCGCATATAAATCTATTATTGAACGTCGTAGATAAAATTATAAATTAAAAAATGAAAATTTCATCGATTTTCTAGGAAAAAATTGTAAAAGGGACTAAAATAATTTGAATTTAAAATAGGGAGATCAAAATTATTTGAATTTAAAATAGGGAGACCAAAATTATTTGAATTTAAAATAGAGGACTAAATTCGTGAATCACACAAAATAAATAAGGGAACCAAAACTTTAATTTAGCAAAAATAATAAGGTAAATTGTGTATGAGTTGAATAGTATTGTAGATAAATAATTATTAGTTGAATAGTATTGTAGATAAATAATTATTTACTAAAATTAACTATTTACTATAATAGTTTAAAATTAATTGAGTAATATAATGTTTTTGTTAATTGAAGACAAAATTAATTCAATTTGTATATTTAGAAGATTAAAAATATATTTAATTATAGAATTTAATGTTATTAAATTATACATTTTTTCTAAAAAGAATTATTTAATATGATTGATTAAGATTAATTATGTCAAACAATATGATTTATTAAAATTAATATGATTGACTAAATGTATTTAAAATTAATAATGTTATTAAATTAATTAGAAAATAAAAAAATATGATACCCGCATTTGCTTTCAAAATGTAATAAAAATAAAATAAAATAAAGAAAATTATTTTATCAATAGAGTTTATTATTTTTGAAAAAGATAATTATTGGTGTCTATAATTGTTTATATAAAAATATTTAATCAACAATATACTTTTTCGTATATAAATATAATTGCTTTTGGCATTATTTACAAAAATATTAGAATCATTAAGTAAGATTGTTTATGATATAATTCAATATTTTGATTATTAATTTCATGTTTCCGTTATTATTATATATTTTGATCATTAATTTCATGTTCCCGTTATTTTTTAATATTTTGATCAGTATTTCATGTTGCCGTTTTAATTATTTTAATTTAATGTTTTAAAAAATGATAAATTATAATTTGGTTGAAATTTATTTCTATAGTTAATCAACATCATCAAAAATATTATTAACAATAAAAATATTAAATTGACTAATAAAAATTATATATTATGCAATTTAAAGTCTCATATAAGCCATTAAAGCATATAAAATATTCTACAAATATGAATAAATAAAGAAATAAGTTTAAAAAGACAAACATTTTTTATATAAAGAACAAATAAATTAATTAATTAAAAAAGATAAATAATTAGTTTCTAAATCTATATTCATATAATATAATTTAACAAATAATATGGTGTAATGTAATGTCACTAACCTAAACTTCTTGTATCATTTAAAGGTTGATCATGTTTTCCAGAATTTGTGAAGAAACAGTTAGGAGGAGATTAATAAACAGTCCAAGTGTTAAGTTGATGTTAAAATTCAATATTTTGTCACTATGTCAAATAAGACTTTAGACAGTATTTTTTCTGACTTTAGACAACGTTTTAAAGCGCTGTCTATTACAACGTTGTTGTAGAAAAAGCGCTGGCTAAAAGGGGCCTTTAGCAGCGCTTTTACCTTTAAAGCGCTGGCTAAAGGGGGTCTTTAGCAGCGATTTTACTTTTAAAGCACTGTTAAAGACCCCCTTTAGCCAGTGCTTTAAAGGTAAAAGCGCTGCTAAAGGCCCCATTTAGTCAGCGCTTTTTCTGAAACAAAAAAAAATTAAAAAAAACCCTTTTAGGCAGCTCTTTTAATGTTAAAGCGCTGTCTAAAGTCCCCTTTAGGCAGCGCTTTTTTTTAAAGAGCTGCTAAAGGCCCCCTTTAGCCAGAGTTTTTTTCTGAAGAAAAAAAATTTAAAAAAAGATCCCCTTTAGACAGCGCTTTTACGTAAAAGCGCTGTCTAATGGGGGTTTTAGACAGCGTTTTTTAAAGCGCTGTCTAATGTCAACGAAATTTTTTATATAATCTTTTTGAAAAAAAAGCGCTGTTTGATATATACAATTTTATATGCACAAATTTTAACCATATTTGCACCAGGTTTTCACTATATTTTGTACCTGTATATACCATTATAAATTTCACCAGATTTTCACTAATATTGAAGCTATAATCCAATAAAAAATAATACCAAAAGATATTATGATACTTTTACAAATTACATATTACCCTAAACCATTACAAATTACTATGATACTATGATACAAATACATACCAAAGATATTATGATACTTGTATATACCATTACAAATTACAAATTTTGCACCTGTATATACTTTTACAAAAAAACAACACCAAAACAACACGATCATATACCATTACAAAATCTATTTATCTCTATCTTCTACATATGCACGTATAACCTGAAACAACACCAAAATATCATAATTCATACCATGATACAAACAAAATATATATAATTTACCACATGACAAATAACAACAAAATTGCAACACTTGAATATATATACTCAAAATTCTCATCAATTAAAGTAAGATTATAATATACCTTATATAACTTTCGTCTTAATAATGTATTGACACCAATCCTCCTTAAGTTCATCCAACTGAGAACTTGAGTAATAAGCACACTTGAATTCATCAAAGTACTACATAATAATATAACATAGTATGTTTAAGTTAAAACTATTTAATTATATGAGAAATATGTGTTAGATATTAAAATAACTCCTAAGTTAGAAATTCATACCTTAGATGGAATCTCTATTCGATCCAAAAGAAGGATTTCTCTCATAAACCTCAACATGTAAAAACCGCAATCTACTTCATTACATTGCCGAAGACACTACACATGAAAAGAAAATATGGATAAGGCCTAAGTTTTATCAAGTATCATCACTATTAATATAATCAAAATTGTGATAATTAATTAATATACCTCCACTATAACCCATG